ACGCCATCCATTCTTGAAAAATTATTTACTAATTAAATGATAACTCTATGTGTTTGCCTGCCACCTCTTATTTGATAATTTCAATTGATTAATATGTAATATGTCATCCCAGATCATATACATATAGGTTGAGAAAAATATAGATTGTGTTGGATTGGGTTCAATTTATATTTATATGGATTGAAAAAAATCTCAACCCAATCGTCATGGGTTTAATAGGTTAAATAAGTTAACTGACCACCTCATTTATTATTTTTTGCACGAATTTTATTAAAAAAATTATATTTGAATGACAAGTTCTAATATGATATTCCATAACCCTGAAAAAATTTACATCATATATAAAAGTATGAGATTGATTAATTTCATCACTATTCATTCGAAATCTATTTGTCTTTGTGAGGTTGTGATGCTCTCCCTTCATCTTTTGTTTTTCTATTTTTCTATAAATAATATAAATCAAATGAACTAGCCTTAACATATTAGAGTTAACTCATTTGATTCATGAATTATTGGGTAGAATTTTTTAGCCTAGCTTATTTTTTTAACAAGTCATTTGAATAAACTCATATGATGATGTACGTTCTTATTTTTATCTACCATCTTCAATGTTTTTTCTTTTTCAAGATTTTGAAAATTTTAATTTCAAGTTGACATTGTAAATGAATCAATATATTGGTGCTAACTCAACTTCACAAAGGATTAAAAAAAGAATTTCAACCTAACATGAAATATGGTATCTTTCGTGAAAATGATCAGGTTAATAAATTGGTAATCTAACTTAGTCCAAGCTTAACTTAAAATTAAATAAAACCAGACTTAGTTTATAAGATTGAGAGACTAATTTCAATAGTCAAGCGCCTCACTTTGTTTTTTTTTTTTCATTTATGATAGGTAACAATTCATTTCAACTTAATTAAAATAATAAAAATACTTATAATTATATAAAATTTATCAAAAAATATTAAAAGTTAATCATAATAAATTTCATATCAATCTTCAATAAAAAATAAAAAGTATTTCAGTATTTGATGAAATATTTTTTTTTGCTGAAAACAAAAATTTCAAAACACACATGAGGAAATAAACTCCAAACAATAGAATTTGATGTAAAAGTACGATTCATGTTTGGATCACAAAAACACTACGATATTTTGCAACACATAATTATGCAAATTTTTGTAATTTGCTACGTGCATCAATCAAGTGTCATAAGTTAAAAAAAATAGAATACACGTTTTAACTATGCCTCAACAAATTAACAACGAACTTCAATTAATTCTTATGTAATTATTTTCTCTAGCATCAGTTATTCTTGATACATTTGTCAAAACAAGATTATATGCGCGCATATAAAATGATTAATAAGTATAATAATACAATATATAAAGTATATTAAAATTATTTAATAAGATCAGATTGGATTAAGTGATCTAACATCGTGATTCTCTATCTACTCCAACTTAAGATAAAATTTGATCTTTTTTTTAAGAAAATAATAAATAAAGATCTTATAAAAATAATATATAAAGTTAAATTTTTTAACAGTGATATTCTTAAATTTTAATATATTTTTTGTCATGTTCTTATACCTCATCAGTCATTCATTCTCTTTTTTTTTATATATTTTTTTTTTGATCTATTTTTTTTTTTTTTTTACAATGCTGAATCGGATCGATTTTGTTCAGGTTAAATCAGTTTTTTTTTTTTTTTTTTGCCAACCAGTTTAAATCAGGTTGAACAAAATTTGGAGACTTGTGTACAGCCTGCTGCCAAGTATCATTCCTAATGTACGAAATAACCGTAACTGACAAAGTCTTGGTGGTCAGTACCCACGTGCAGTGCGGGTGGGGACCACCACGCCCCGCTTGGTCTGGCGATCCCACACGATTCTCCTTCTGCCACAATATTTTATACCCATAATAGTACACTTCACTTTTTTTTTTGTCAAAAAAATAATTATTTAAAAAAGTGTCCAAATGTTATCCAAGCCGTAAGATGTGAACTTTGTACATTTAGAAAATAAAACACAAATATATTTCTCTTTTATTTTCGTTCCCAAAAAAAAAAAAGAATAATTTCAACCATGACATAATATATTTTCATGGATGGTTCGGATCACTTTACAGCCGATTTCAACTTTTTTTTTGGGGCTGTCTCTTTCTCTAACCAAATCAAGTCATCTTATTCACTTTGTGTGATTCGGATCACGCTCTTGCTCTGCGTAAATCTTTTTTCTTTCTAATTAAATTACACTTTTTATATGTTTTTCTTTTTCAATTATAAAGCATTTTACAAAAAATAGAATAAAATCATGCTTCAATGGAAATAACATTAGATTGGAGATAGTGCCATGCTTTGTTTTTTTTTTTTCCTTTTCAAAAACTAATAATATATATATAAAATTTTTGGGCTTCAAACTGATTGAATATAATTGATTTGCTTGTTATTTCCTAGATCTCATTAGTCATTTCTTTGAGAGCTGATTATAAATTAATCCTTGACGTGAGACTGTTGCGTTATACATTTTTTTATATACAAGAGTGAATTTAATTGAATTGGTGCTTTTTTTAAATATCATTATGTCATATTTGTTGTTACATCAAGTATAATTAAGAATGAACCTCCCCTATGTAATTTTTTTTAGATTCATAATGCTGGAATTATCTATCTTTTAAAAAATTAGCTAAATATATATTTAACCTGTTAATTGTATATAAATTTTTATTTTTATTTTTTAATTTTTAATTTTAAAAATATCTTTTCTGTTCTTTAATCTTAATATCCTGAGTTTCATCACACAAAATTTTTACATTAAACTTTTAAATATTGTCAAAGTATTATGAAATGTTAATATATTAAATTTAATTTTTAAAAAAATAATAATGATTAACATATAAAAGATAATCATTTGAAACTAATAGCATTATGGCTAGATGATTGAAAAAATGCTTTATAAAGTTAATAAATTAAATTAAAATTTTATATAAAATTAAAGGATAAAAATAGACCTTAGCAGGAAAAAAAAGTCAAGTTATTTTTATCCAATCTAATCACCGTGAGTTTTCCACTTATTTTTTTCAAACAAGATTTTTAGTTTAAGCTTTAAATATTGTGAATAGAAAAAAAAAATCACTAAAGATGGCTTTATATTTATGTAATTTGACTTAATTCCGACTAGTCAATGCAATTCACAATGTACATTTAAAAACCAGTTGATATATAAAGTAATGTAATGATGATTTATCCATGATAACTACGTAACAATAATCAAATATAAAGCTTAAGAGTTATAAACATTCGCCAATTATTATATTATTTGAATTGGCCTTAACCCTTTTAAATCTCAGATTGGTGATTCACATTAATTTGACATTGGATTCCCTAAATTATTTTAGATACATTTTATGTTTTTATTTTAAAGGATATAAGATTTATATATTTAGCTTTGTATGCTTAATATATATATTTTTATCCAATCAAATCAAGATATGTAATATTAATAACAAGAATTTTTTATATATTAAATAATTTATAAAATATACACGTCTTAATTTAATTAAAAATAAGTATATACTCATGTCTAATATGAGTTAACTTTCCATAAAACTGACAAAATTTGAAAATATTAAAAGAAAATTATAAAATGACCTTAATTTTTTTTTATAAAAGAAAAGTTTGGATGAGTTGTATTTCAGGAACTTACTAGAACTAATACATGTTTCAAGGCTCAAAGAATGCTTATAAAGTATGATATTTTTAATATCTAAAATTAAAACTGAACATTTAATAACTACTGATTTAATTTTTGTCAAAATTAATGAAACTATTAACCAATACTTCTATCAATTAAATAGTGTGCTATTCAATTTAATAACGCGAATCTTAATTAACTCTTTTTTAAAAGAACGACAGAAGCACAAGTCTTCCAGAATGAAAGAATTAAAATTTGAATCCAAGACAATACAATGAATACATTCAATGTATTTGACGTTAATGTTTACCAAAGGGAAAGGCCGTTAACTGTTAGCCTCATCTGTTGTACCTCTTGTATTAGTCAAAGAACACCCAACCAAAATTAATTAATTAAATCATTTAATTAATTATTATAAGTAGGGACATTAATTATATCGCAGACATTAAGAATATATGAATGCTGAGCACTACTTGTGAATATATTATCCCACCGCATATGGAACCAAAATCGATCACCAAATATAAACAAAAGTCAAACAAAAAGGAATTCAGTTTCCTTCATTTGCTTAACATTTGGCAAAATGAGAACAAACTGAATTATATACAACTCATCTCCTAAGTTTTGTTTCCTTTGTGATATGTTTGCATTATAATATTATTTTCTTCAATCAAAATTCTAATTCTGCCCCTTGATTTTTTAAATTTTACCCCTTTGAAATTTCACCCTCTATCAACTTTCTTTGGGGGGGGGGTTTTGTCCAATATATATTCAACCCTTTACAATATTGTACTGTTTGCGAAACAAAACATATCCAAAATGAAATTATTTGAATATAGCATGAAAATTTGAGTCAATTTATTTGGTTAAATCAATAAATTAATATACCTTAATTAATATAATAGAATGTTTTGTTTATAATCAATTTCATCATGGTTTGACTATAGTTTTAATTGTTAACCCTTGAAAGTTTGAACTAATACCTTGATTAGTTTAATAACTAATTCAATTTTTAATACCTGTCCCAAAAAGATTTGAATCGAATCAAGTTAGATCACATATATGTAAAATTTTTCTCACACCCACCTATTCTGGGGTTTGATCCCTAATCTTCCGTATCACAAGAGGTAAAGTTGATAATTTCTGCCTTTAATTTATCATGCGTGCGTAATTATATTACAAATGACTCAATCCACGTGTTGCTGGTGAGTAGGTAGAACCAAATTTTATTCTATTATACAAGTGTGTGTGTGTATGAATATATAAACACAATCCTAGTTTCCCAAAAGCCAGGCTCATGAGAGCTTGAAAGTGTGCAACTTGTTTTCTTAGAAAACAAAATCGTTCTGCTTTCTTTGTAGTCTCAAACCACTCTTCTTTCAACATTTAGATTATATATAGAATCAACCAACTACCAGCCTGCACGTTTCTCTCTGAGTTGCAAAATCAGAACACATGACAAAGTCACACACAAGCTATTCAAGTCGTCCACCACCACCACCGTCTAAGCTTGGAATTGGAACGAGTTCGCACTTGATTTCAAAGTTCAAGCCAAAGATCAGGATAATCCACGTATATGCTCCAGAGATTATCAAAACTGATGTCGCAAATTTCAGAGAGCTTGTTCAGAGGCTCACTGGTAAACCAGAAGATGAAGGAGAGAGAGGTGGTAGGAGAAGAGCAAAGACAAAGACGACCCCACCAACCAGATTAGATCAAACGGGTTCTCAAATCAAGCAGAGGATGATTATGGAAGAACAACAAGGAGAGTTTATGAGTCTGCAAAATGGGTTAAGGATCAAGAAAGAAGAAGAAAATGATGATCAAAGTCAGATGTGGGGAAGGTCAAGGTCAAATGGAAAACTCAGTGGTGGTTTCCTTGAAGGTTTCTCAGAATTAGACTGTTTCATGGAAGAGCTTAGTACTATGCCTGTAGTGTAATTTAATCTGATTCCTTAATTTCTGCTTCTATCTCGTTATTTTTGTCCGCCTCTGTGGTTGTGTGTGTGACTGTGAGTATATATGTCTCTGAGTATATATGGCCATATATAACCAATGTAATTCTGATGCAGTGCAACAGTCTAGTGTGCGTGCAGACACACAGAAACACATCTAGAATCCTTGCTTTATTACTCTGTTGAATGTAGTTGACTTCATCTTTTTTGAAGGCTTAACCTTCCCAGAAACCAGATCAGACCTCTACAACATTTGACATTCGAGCCATTATTATCTGTAGCAACTTAATTATCATAATAGAGATGCTGCTAATACAGTTGTTTATGGCTACATATGAAAACTTTGCAAATTTCAATGGGAAGATGAAAATGGGAGAATTAATCTGTGAGTACTTTTGAAAAATAACCAAATATATGAAATTGCTGTCCTTATCTGAAACCATGAAATTAATTTAGAAGGGAAGATAGAGTGCAATTTTATCAGTACAATTTACCAACAGAAAAAGAAAGAACATTAAGAGTCGTTTTGCACTCTTCTCTTGTCATATAATGAAATACTGAAGGGAGAAAGAGAAAGAGAGACAGAGACAGAGAGAGAACAAAATTGTAACACAAGCTTGAAGCTTCATGAGGGATCCCTTTTAAAGTAAACTACAAGTACAATGTACAAGGTGGGTAGCCATTATTATAGAAAAAATGTGAAGTTTTTAATCATTAACAATTATTTTCTCGCATTTCACTGGTAAATTTAATTATTGCCAATTCACAAGTTTCACATCTTCAGAAAATCACGTTGAGCTATTGAGGTGGAAGCTACTCACAGTATTGCTTCAGCATGAACGTACTTTTTGCCAAATCAAGTGAACATGCGCTAAGCTAAGAGTTAAATCTTAATAACACTATGACTGCTGACTAATTAGCCACTGGGCTATATTAGCTTATAGCTGAATATCAGACACAAATCTGGTCTCATCAAGATGGATCCTTTCAGTGAATCGGATGCTTTAAAGGTTGAACCTCTCTTTAAGGTCTATGTGAAGTGTAAACTACTAGTTTCTATATTTATCCTTCTGCATATACAAGGCAAATTTTGTGTAGAATTTCAATTTCAGCCACGACTCGAATTTAGGGAATAAGGATTCTCCTGTTAATGTAGTAAGCACTCACTTTAGTAGGTGATCAAATAGTAATACAACTAAGAATAATAATTTTAAGAGTTATTTGACTAATTGCTTGATATAATTATAGATATAGATATTATAAATAGTCATATTCCTTGGATCACTCTTTTAAAAAGTGTATCAACACAAATAATTATTTTTTATTTTTTAACAAATGTGAACCGTGAGTTTAATTGATGATAGAGTACAATGATATTATGCAATCCATATAATCAATCCTGCCTAGTAAGATAAAGCTTGTTATGATAATTAATGTAGACTTTATATATTACAAAGTCTTAAAAATAAGCTACATTATTTATAACTTATAAATAATGCAACTTGTTAACAATTTTTTTACTATATATATCCATAGCTAAATGTAACACACCAAATTTTTTTTTTTTTAAATAATTTAACTCAACCATAGTTGGGTTACAGCCACCCAACACATTTTTATATCAATAATTTCGATATAAAATATTTTATAATTGGTTTCAACTCACACACTATAACATTTCAGATAAATTTTTACCTCCCACATGCCATTAGGCTAAATCACATTTGTCCATCCTTATACTCCCAATAAGTAAACTAAATCACATTTGTCCATCCTTATACTCCCAACAAGTAAAATAAGCAATTTAATCAATTTTCAACACAAGCCAGTTATTTGACCTTATAATCATGCTATTTTAACCAATCCAAAGTAAACCAAATATTAAAATTACAGTCATCCAAATTGTACCAAAAATAGAAATAGTTTGAAAGGCACGATTACATTTATATATTCATATAATTGACAATAAACATAAAAAAGTCCTAATATTGGCAATATAACACATTATAAATCATAAATTAAATACCTAAAAGAGACAGTGGATCTATACCACTAAGCCTCTGGGACTCCTCCACGTGTCACTCGTGGCTCTTCTCCTGAAAATTGTTAACCACATAATGAGACTCAAAAGTCCCAGTAACCAAAGCCAATTTATGATAGTGTATACAAACAGTTAAGTGTGTGCTTACTAAGTGAGAATTAAAAAATAATATAATTCCAACAAATATATGAAATATTACAATACACACAAACAACCATCCTTATATCCCTCCATTAACCTCGAGCCGTAGCCCTCACTCGGTGCTAAATTACCCGGCCAAAGGTAGATTAGCCTGAGCCCTTACAAACCACCTATTGAGCTCCAATAGGGGCATACCACGTGGCACATAAATACAACAATAATAGCAAATCTCCCAACACCTCCCACAATAATCAAATAAATTTATAATAATATTGCACAATTATATAATATTACAAAATTTATAATTTTCTCAATAATTACCCAATTAACAAGAAGTAACACTAATCATAAATTAAAAGCATGGTTACCTTGTGGCTTTTTCAATAAATTATTCCTTAAAATTTCTCTCTCACCACAATCTTCACCAGTAATACAATCTACAAATAACATATTATTTATAAATATTAGTTTCAATTTTTGAAACTAATAAAATAATTCTAATAATAGAATTAAAAATATAACATAATTCCTAATCTCAATCTTAATACAAATCTATAGTTAATACTATTAAGTATAATTTTTAACTCCTCTTTTAATTATCAATAAACATTAATAATCTAAAATCAACTTCTAAACTAATTTTTATTATCAAAATTTTCTTTTTATTTCATAAATTCGTACCTAAAATACCCAAAAAATTAAAATTAAATCTCTAGCTTAGAATCATAATCCTATAGCCATAATAATTCATTTCTCATCCTAAATAATCATCTAAACCTCAATAAATCAACATATATTTTCAGATCTAGTCTAGAATTTGATCCATAAGCCATAAATTCAAAGATCATTAACAAATTTATACTCTATAAACATTTATTATACTACTGACAACCTCAAAAACCATATTTATTCAACATAAATTCATCCCTCTTCCAGATCTTAAATTTTCTACCACTACAAACTCAGAAACTAAAGAAGAAGGATGACTAAGAAAAATTTTTAGAACACTTACTTAGTCTTAAAAAGCTTAAAATCACACCCTAAATATCCTATTAAAACTCTTACCTTAAAAATTTAGATATTTCGCACCGGCAACTCGCTTCTCTCTCGCCTCAGCTCGCGCGCAGAATGAATGAGGAAATGAAGGAAGGTGAGTTTTTATAAAAATTCAGTGGGTCCCACACATTTTTTTTATTATTATTCTTCTTCTCTCTCATTTAATAATTAATTTTTTTTAATTATTTTTTTAATAAATTTATTTATTTTTTTTTTAAATTTAGAATTATATCCTAAATTAGATTTAATAATCATTTTCTACTAATTTTCTTACCTCTAAATATTATTATTTTTTAAAAAAAAAATTTCTATTAACCTAAATTAACTATTAAAATTTAAATTGAGATGTTACACTAAACCATAAAAAGAAGTTGCAACATGCTCTATCACCTGGAGAAATCCTTGAAACCTGGTCACACGTTTCTTGCGTCACTCCTTTTCTTTTTCTAGATGTATAAATGTATAAATAGTTATTTATTATTTTCTAACCAGTGTGGTCTTATTCTTGCTATAACATGCTGCAAATCATCTTATTCATTGAGAAGACTCAAATTAAAGAGGAAGTAACCTTGGTACAAATGCCTCCAATAAAGACCAGAGTTTCAATTGTATTTTACAACATTGAAGCTCTTCATAACATTTTAGTGTGAGATCATCAACCAGCTTCTGAACTAAACACCTATGACTATAGCACTGCCCATAAAATCTCGTGGGATAGCCATCAAGTTTGGGCAAGAGAACAAATTCAGGACCTTTTTCCTATATACAGTGAGAAAGACCACTAATGAGAAGCTTAGCCAATACTCTGGCTGAGGCTGCTTTTTCCCAGGGCTGCTCCATCTGCCTCCGTTCATCCCAACGCTTCAAATGTAACAATCTTTTTGTTGTAACACCTGAAGTCAGAAGCAGATAAACTATATCTCAGGAGTTCACGGCAGCAATCGTCAAAGAGATTGAATGCATGAGATGGATCATCAACGTATATATACAACCAGACCTTATCCACCAATATGTATCATGGGCCTATTTGCTGTCTTGGCTATGTCAAACATACCAGCATGTGAAGCTTTCTTCCTTTTCACCTACAAATGTCAAAACACAAGCACTGCTTAGAAGCATAACAGTACAAGATGCCTGTGATGGTTCAATATTCTCAGTTCGTCATATAACGGGAGAAAATTCAAGGAGTTCTTGGGTGTTTGTTTACAGGTTCTACAATACAAACACGCAAAGTGGATAAGACCTTCATACATGATGTGGAACTGTAAAAGAAAATGTCTAATTGTCATGCTTTTATCAGATAATTTGACATTGATAACAAACAATTGAAAACCATGCCTGAGTTTTGTCCCGTATCATTTTAACTAGTATATGTCCACAATTGAAGCAATCTATCCACAAAGAGAGTTAATGGAAAGATACCAAAGCAAAAGAAGAGACCTGCATAAGATTTTCATTGACCTAAATAGAAAAGCTTATGACTAGGTATCAGGGGAAGTGTTTTGAAAAACCTTGGAAAAGAAAGAGGTTTGTGTTTTTTATATCTGGGTTCATAAGAGGTTTGTGTTTTTTATATCTGGGTTATACAAGATTGGTATGAAGAAGTATCATAGCGTTAATAATTAAGCAAACATCAAACGGTTGATTAGATGGTGTTAAGTCCAATGAAGAGAGTTGGAGGAAGATAAAAAATCACTTAAAGAAGTTATTAAGCAAGACCTTTTGGCAAATGGCTCATCTAAGCTAGTTGTTGATAGAGCACAACGATGTAATGCAATCATGTAACCGACCTTATTTAGTGAGATAAAGCTTGGTTGTTGTTGTATATGATCTACATTCTTTACTCATAAAGCAATATGAAAAGATAAATTTGACATGAAGATTGTATGAATGATGAAAGTAAGAAAGCACTTTTGCATGAGCATCATACCAACAAAGTATATCGACTTAATGCAAATGGGAACATGAAGCTTTAATAAGGCTAACGGAATGCTCCTAAATCTAAGCATTGATAATTAAACAAGCATACCGCTGCCCCTATTATCTCTCTAAGCTCATGATCCTCTGCACCTTGTCGTAGAGGATCT